GGGTTACTAGTATATGCTCGACATTCCATTTATGATCGCTTACTGCTTCTTCTATTCAAACTCTTCGTATTTATAATTTATCTTCTATGGCATCAATATCAAAGTCACTCTTTGAAAGTGTTGTGTTGTCAGTACTTGACAAACGTTTCCCTGAGATCGAAACGTTATCTGACGAACAGAGTGCGGCTTTGTTTGCACTTGTGAATCGCGAGGACGTCTTCGCCATCTTGCCAACCGGCCATGGGAAGTCCCTTATCTTCCAGTGTCTGCCAGATATTTGCGAGGAGTTATCTTTACGAGGCAGAGATTATCCAAGAAAAGCCGTCATATTAGTAGTATGCCCGCTGAACTCTCTTGTGAACACGCATATACGTGAATTACACTCTCGTGAAATAACAGCGACCAGCCTCGTTGGTGATGTTGACGAAGAAAAGGTTCTTCGCGGAGAGTTCTCGTTCGTTTTTGCGAACCCAGAATCGCTGATACTTAACGAGAAGTGGAGAAAGATGCTGCAGAGTGACGTGTATCTCAACAATCTATTCGCTATTGTGACAGATGAAGCGCACGTTATTCCAAAATGGTAAGCGGCTGGCTATATATCACGAGCATGCAATATTATCACACCTATGCCAACTGATCGACGTCCTCGTTCTCATTTGATGTTTATGCTTTACTGTATTACTCACAGAGTTCTTTTGTTCTTTTGTAGGGGATATAGAACGCAAAAGCATGGCACAAGCAGCAAGAAAGAGTTTGTTGCTGCTTTTAGAGAATGTTTTTCAAGGCTTGGAGAATTAAGGTCTCTTTTAAGTACAAAGCCTTTGGTTCCTGTTTTGGCACTAACAGCTACAGCCAACATACAAACAAGGAATGTCATAAAGGAGTCCCTTTGCCTCAGGCAAAATTATGTTCCTGTCTTTGTAAGTCCCAACCGAGAAAACATTTTTATCAACAGGATGAGGGTTAACTCAAACATCTCAAAAGCATTCGATTGGTTGGTTGCAAAGGTCAGGGAAGAACAAGTCAACTTAGAGAAGACTATAGTCTATTGTAAATCTATTAAAGACTGTGGAAGACTGTTCATGCATTTTAAAGTACAGCTCGGGAATGATAGTTTCTACCCTACGAATGAATRCCATTCTAAAAATCTCCTTTTTGCCATGTATCACCATGCAACTCTTCCCAAGAATCAAGAACAAACATTAGAATCATTTATGGATGAAAATGGCACTTGCAGAGTGATATTTGCCACAAATGCTCTAGGAATGGGTGTTAATTTCCCTAATGTCAGGCAAATAATCCATTATGGTCCTCCAAGAGAAATGGAAGAGCTTGTGCAGCAAATAGGACGTGCTGGTAGARRTGGCAAACCTGCTATTGCTACGATTATGTTCAATGGGCAAAAAAATAGGAACTGTGATCAGAAAGTGAAAGACCTCTGCAACGAGATGGGCTGCTTAAGGAAGATAATGTTAGCTGATTTTGGTATTGGAGATATTCCCAACTTTAAAACACACAAATGCTGTTTGAATTGCCAAAAAGAATGTTTGTGTTGTGAAGGAAAGCAATGCACAGTACCTTCAATGGCAGTTGGACTTCCTGAGCAAACATTAGAGTCATTAAAGACCAGGGAGGTATCCAAAGAACAGAAGGAGCTACTTCAAGATTTATTGTTAGATTACAAGGAGGAATTTTCATCTCACCTCTTGTGTTTCATTGGAGTAGATGGCAGTAATTTGTTTGGTAATTCACTTAAAAAGAAGGTATTACAGCATTGCAAGTACATTTTCAACAAAACTTACATTTTAGAGAATTTGCCASTCTTTACCACAGCACAAGCAATGGATATTTTGTGCATGATAAATGATGTGTTCCAAGATATAGACAAAGAAGAAATCAATGTTAATCAGTGCTCTTCGCCATATGCAAGTTTTGATGATGACATGGAACTCTTGGATGTATGTCAAGATTTGTTTGATGAACTCACTGACAGTGATAATGAAATGTCTTCAGATGAAGATCTCTCTGACCAAGAAATGTGATTACACAGTTCAGGCACATATTGCTGCATGTAGGTATGTCATACTTGATTATTTGACATGTAACATTGTAGTTCTAAAAAAACACAGCAGCACAAAGCATTGAGCAGATTGGCGACATGTCAGCATAAAAATCATAAATGTTACATTTATAAATGCTATTTTATTGGTCTTCTTCGATTATTTCTCAC